CGGTTCACTAGATGTCAATGGAGTTTTGTCAACTTACAAAACCCCACAATTAGGCCCCAGTGATTTTGGTGGAGATACTGATGATCTATACTGGTAAATCATTGAGATTAGGCTCTCAGTCTCCAGAACTATTTGCCGGTCCTTTCGGTAGCATGCAGGGAGGCCAAGGCATACTCAGAAATTCATGCTAATGAAGGAAACATAGAGCTTCTAAAAGAAAGAAGATCCTTTATGCTGTTGCTAAGCTTCGCTGCACATATTGCAGCATATAATTTATTGCCTGTACTATTTCTTATTTTCTTTGTGGCCGCAAAGATTATTCAATGACGGTTTTGTTCCTCTAGCAAACAATGGAAATTGCAGCTCATAACAGAAGTAGAACATTTCCCTGCTTCACTGCTTATGTGATAAGATAATTATTCCAAAAATATGCTGTTTGCCTCCCAGCAAGGCAGGAGGAGCTGTTATCGTATTAGCTGGTGACAAGTTACCAAAAGTTGTGAGAGACTGCTTTGTGTTTGGAGATGTCGCCAAAGTGGAAAGAGAAAACAAGTAAGACCACCTGCTGCTCACATTTGAAAAAGAAATGGTAGACGACAGAAAACTTCAGTTAACTCCAAGGTAACTCCGGAAAATCTTCCCTCATTCCTTACATATGACACTTTTTTGCTCAGCAAATCCTTTCCTGCATACAGCTTGAGTGACAGCTGGTAAGATGGAAGTGACCTCAGAAGATGGAACATAAGGTTGTACCATAAAGACACATGTCACAGAGAAGAAAAATTAGGGGATGGACAGCAATGAGGCGCTGCTAGGATGATAGCATGTTTGTTTATGCGTGTTTTACATCTATGTAATTCCACAGGTTTCAAAATCTTTTTTCTCATCAGAGTATGTTATATTACTATCTACTATTATTAAAGATTTGCTGCATGATTCTCATTTTATAGGTATGAGAACTTTTTAAAAACGTTACCTACGCGCATAGTCACATCCAGTTTTCCTACGGTAAATGTTTGTCTTGTTCTTTCTCTCCTTTTTTTTTTTTTTTTTTTTCCTCAAACAAGCTTTCAGCTTCAGGCAGAGTTCAGACACTGAAACCAGCAATTTTTCACTCCTGGCCTGAGTCTCTTGGTGGGATCCTGATTTTCCTCGCTACTGCTAATTAGGGACAAACCCAGTTACATGAGATGATCCGCTCCCTGCTGCTGTAAATGGGATAACACAGCCACACTGACCTTCATCCAGCAGACACTGGCCAAGTACAAAAGTATCGCAATACAAACTGATACGAGAGAGATATCAGCTTATGTTTCTCTTCAAGGCACAACAAATCTCTATTTGTTCTCTTATTTTTTTTCTTTAAAACAATGTAATGAAATTTATAATATACACCACCTGCTGCTGTTCTCCTTTTTTATTAAACATATCTAATATGCAGACCTTGTTACTTCACTTTTCTTTCTCACTCAGATGGTGTATCTTGGAGAAGTCAATCCTGAAAATTGCTGGCTTTGCATGTACAGTCTGGGTTGAAAGAAAACCATCGAGTACATTAGGCTTCAGCTTTTTAATTATCAGTTCGTAATGACGGGTTGTTAAAAAAATAATTTCCTGAAGGCTGAACCTCTGCAGGGTTTCCAAGGCTTGGAAAGAAATATCGATCGTTTGACAATGAGTCTCTCTGCACTCACGGTGCAGAATGGAAAATTCCAGCTTTGCCATAACCCCCTGATCCCAGAAAAGCAAGTAGCTGTACTGCAGCAAGCTGGGAGCGGGCTCTGGGACAGCAGTCCACCCAGACCATGAACAGGCACACTCCTTTCCATGTATACAAAGTGCATTAAAAAGAAAAATGGATGATTCAAGCAGCAAAGCTCAGAAACTGCAAAGAAAAATACGGATAGAAGTGCACTCCATATGACGGGTCAGAGTTCAGCACTTTTTAGGAGAAAATACAAATTGTTTTTATCGTTAGAAAGCTCTTTCTCTTCCTTGACCCTCCATTTTGTCTAAGTGCTAAACTCCATTAACCTACTCGAGCAAGAAAACCAGCAAGTCAAAAACATAAAAGCCAAATTAAACTGAGTAACCAACGCCAAGTTTTTATACTTGAAAATGCTCAAGTTGCAAAAACACCACCTTTGAGAGACTTTCTAATTGCTCCCAATTTTCCAAGCAAGATGTACCAACATTGCCAGCGTATGCAGGCATCTACACACTTGAGAAACATAAGCTGTAGGCTTTTAATTTCCTAACAATAAACAATATAACTTAAGAGAAAGCTGCCCCAAAGTGGAACTGTCGTGAAACACCAAACGTGTGGCACAGGAACTGTGCAAAGGTGACCGCAATTGCTATGCCAGCCCAAAGCGAGTCAACAACTCATTCCTCAAGAGACTCGTTGCATTGCATTTTTACATCTAAACTGATCTCTCCTTCAAAAGATTTTAAGTCTTTGTCTTTAGTTCATGCCCAAATTACTACCTCCTGGGAAAAAAAGGCCCCCGTGGCCTCCCAGACACAGCAGATGCTGTCAGAGCAAGATCTCCAAGGACTCAGGGAGGCCAGCAGAGCTTTGCGGTGAGAGCAGGAGAGGCAAAGTGCAGGTGAACCAAGCCCTGCGACTGCTGTGCTGCACTTGGGCGAGGGAGGAGAAGGCAGATTTTAGCAGCAGGAGCAGAAGTCAATGTTGCCCTTCAGCCAGCCATCTCTCAGACACAGCAGCTGAAGCTGGCTCTGCGTGAGGAGCTGCCAGCACCTTTTACTGGTGACCAAACTGACCCTTTTATTGCTTACCTTGCATATAATGTGCTAATGTATCAGCACGTTTCCTTGCTGTGTCCTCTGGTATACTCAGCACGGAATTAAAAGTGAACCTTCTGCAAAAAAGATGAACTATGCAAACTCAAGGTTTTTCTTCTCTTTTTTTTTTGTCCCATGCTGTGACAGTCTAGAACCACAGATTCCATGTGACAGCTCATATTTTTGTATTTCTGTATTAAAAACATTGGGGTGGTATCTCTTTGGAGACTGTGATGTTTCAGATGGAGTTTCCGCTGCTCCTTTGATGATTATGTCTTATCAACCACTCGTTCCTCAGTTTTTTCTCTCCTGTGTCTGGCCATTGATCTGCCCTGCACAAGCCAGGCCAAACCCTGCATTTTGCATTGGCCAGACAATGTTCTTTTGTCCCTCCACAACCTAATCATTGCTCCACCACTGGACCACTCTTTGCTTGGACAAAGTCATTCCTACACAGACTCTTTCAGATTCTCATCTCAAGATCAGTCTCTGCACAAGTCTTTCATGACTGCCATTAAAGGTTTTCTTCTCCAAGTTTCATCCCAATATTTCTTTTCTTACATCTCGTATTTCTCTCCAGCTCCACTATTTTCTGATTTCATCATGTCTGTGCATTGTCATGCTCTATGACATTTTCCATTAATTTCTAGAATACTCACTATTACCACTCTAAAACCAATGCATTTTTGCTAAGCCTGACAAATACTTACCCATCAAACAGAAAACATTTTTAGAATTAAAAGAGAAAACATTGTATTACTGAGGAATCTATTTTTGGTTTCTGGGCATGATCCTAGGTTCACTTTTAACAATAGAATTGTTCCTATTTGACATTGTATCAGATATATTATACAGACTTTTTGCTTGTTTATTTGAAACATGGTTTTTAGAACCAGAATATTCCCACACACTTTGCCCACACCTGCTGCTGAGAAGGGAGTAAAGAGCATGTGCTGTCCCCAAATCATATGCTAAAACACACACAAAGAGCACAATTCCTGCAAAGAAAAAGGCTATCTTTGTTTATGGAAATATCCTACTGAGTTATCCTCTTGGGTAAGAATTTTGCAGTTAGGGCACAGGTTTTAATTAGCTGCTATCAAGTTATTAAGCCAGTTCATAAGGAGTCAAACTGTCTATCCTGCACTTTACCTCTGCAGTCAGCTATTTCCTAAAATCTTTGTCCAAAGTCAACACCTTCTACATCCGTTTATTCTCTACTAAAGGCATTCTGCTACTTACTGCAACAAATAGTTTTTCATCCTGTGTGTTATTATTTCCAAAACTGAAACTACTTTAAAATAATTGACTTTCTCAGCCCTTGTGTTTACCAAAATTTCCAGTTGTTCTTCTTTTCTTCTTGCAATTGCAAACTAAACCACATTACCCAGCTGAAGAAGCCTGGGCTTCCCTCAGGAAGCTACTGACTGCAAAAGAATAGCAAGACCCAAATCAGAGATGTGGCAACCCCCCTGCCCCGGCAAGGAGCCACAGCTTCTTGACGCCCAGTGCCCAAGACTGCCACAAGCACAGTGCGAGGGCAGCGCACCACAAAGGCAACCTACAGTTCGTGGGTGCTGGGAGCCTTTGTAGATGCCTGGAGATAGGAGTGCTAGTGTCAATGGGGGGCTGGGGAGAGTCTGCAAGAATTTAGAAAGGTAAAAAACCCTCTAAGTTCAAAGGTCTGAAGTCTGAGGTAGGTTTGAGGAACAATCAATTGAAACAGCGTGTGCTGAGAATGCACAACGTGCCCTGCACGCACTTTAGAGCACTGGATCAAATCACCTGTGATAAAGTAATTAGGCTGTTCCTGGAGGTTTCAGAGGCTTATATGTGCCTTGCCAGAGCCCACAGCTTCGTGGCCCTCCAAGTGACAGGTGCATCCTGCATCTTAATAGCAGGATTTAAAGCCAATTCCCAGGTTAGTCATTTCTGTCCTAAATCCAATATTGCAAGCTGCAGCTTATTTAATGTGAGGCAGCACTGTCATTCCTCCACAAAGAGCCTTGTCACCTTCCCGCTCCTTGCACAGGCAGTCCCATTTTCAGTCTGCTTCTTTCAGTGCGAAACGTATCATCTGCAAGATCAGCAGTTCAGCTGTACTGTTGTTCCACTCATTACTTAGAATTTTGTAGCAGAGGGACTGTAACAATAGGAAACCCCACATTTTACAGAAAAAGTCAGCATGTACTTACATAATTTGATGCAAGATCAGGATGCAGATAATCAATTCCTGCAATAAGATAACGACAGAACAGAAACCAAAGGTTAAGAGTTTCAAAAAGTATTTTTTTAAGGATCACAGAACAGAACAAGATTCCTTTGCAACCATAAGAAAATGATCACAGCGAATAACACAACTGACTGAAGTGAGATTCCGGTTTTTAAAGGTGGACTTTTAAACTGGTGTGCAGTTTCTGATGCAGTCCCAGCTAGGAGTTTTCAATCATTTATGTCAAAATCCAGGTGCCAACTGAAAAGCTGAGCTCAGCAACAAAATTTATTGACCTGTTTTTTAGACTAGATCATATTTACTTATTAAGATTAGTTTAAATCACAATCTTTACACAAGTTCTATCATCTCAAAGCATCCTAAAACTAATAAGATCAGTAAGCACTGGATCAGTACCAGATACAAAAAGGAGTATATTTAACCACTGAAAATTGTAAACTAAGTAGATAGAAAATTACCTAAACTAGACTTGGGGAGATCACTAAGGCAAACACTTTGGATTATGTGTACAAAAGAGAACTTTTAATGTTGGATTAGACCATTTTAGCAAATATCTGAGCACAGGCTCCGCATCGTAGTAGCGTGCTGAAGATTGTAACAGGGCAGTGGTGCGGCATGTACTCATTCTAATGCATGAAATCTTTCCACATATGGCAAACATACAGATCCCAGTGGATGGTGTAACAGAAGCAGCAGATCTACATTTAGATGGGATAAGATGACCTATTACATATCCACTTTAAACACACAAAAAAATGGCCACCAACATCACTACTCTGCCTCATGTCTCCAACCACCACACTATTACATGCCCAATTTTATCTGCAAGGACAATGTAGTATTATTGCAGTTGTTGTGATGAAACCATTGCCTCCTGTTATGTAGGGTCCTTTAGCACTAGATTTGCATGAAGAGACCATTGCACCTGTGGAGAGCCTTACTGATGCAAATGGCAGATGAACAACAAAAGTCTCAATATAGAATGATGTCATTCAGGTGCTCTCTTCCAGAGTTACTGGAAGTGAACGTGAGGCAAATTACCCCCTTCTCTAAAAGCTGTATCTGATGGGCCAACAGCTTTATTTGACCTGAAGCTCAACTAGTTTGTCATCAGCCCTGTTACAGTCATGCCTAGCTATTCTGAAAGCTAAGTCCCACCTCTGTGGGATCAGTGAAATTGCGATTTCTCATGACATCAATATACAGATGTCAGAGTCTACTTTCTTGCTTCCACAAAACCTCGTCTTAGGAGTAAGCAGATGAGGAACAGAAACAAATGAGGATAGATCTCAGTTTACCCCAGAAAAAATATATATATACAGACATTTTATTTATTTTTAATATTATTCAGTCAACACAAAAGGAAAACATTCAAAATTTAGCCCAAAAAAAGTGTTGAGAGACTGCACAAAATTCCTGTACTTCAGCAAGGAACCCACGGGTCGAACAGCTGTGACTTCAGCTATGCCTTTTATCTTCATCTTCCCTGAACTTAGCCTCAAATTAGTAATATATTTAATATGCAGGTCTTTATTGACATTCAGCATGAAAGTGTTTAATTATTTCAGCTGTCAAGTATGACTTTGAGAATAATGTTAACCCAGAAAACGTTTTCTTAAGTACTTTTTGCACAGCAATTACATCTCCCAGTCAGTGCCTACAGAAGTCAAGGGGAGTCTTTCCTTTGGCTTAATGGTCATTATAGCGTGCCCTGGAAGACATCTGAGTAATAACTGCAAACTACTTCTAATGCTTGGATATCCATGTCTCAGTATCCCTAGTGAAGACTTTATAACACATTTCCTTGAAGATCTCAGAGTCTTTGTGGAGGTTGGTAGTCTCAGCACTATAAGAAATCCATTATTACTTTTTAATCTTTTTTTTTTTCCACTTGGATTACACGGAAGAAGCTACTTAAAAATACTACATTAACATGTAGTCTTCACTTACCATCATCCATAATTCCTATGGTAACTCCCTTCCCCGTGTATCCCAGCTCCCATGCTTCAGCTACGTTAAGGTCAAGTCCAGGAGTCCCATCTGCTTGACCAGTGTTAATCTAATACATCAGTAAAAAGAAGAATAGCTTCTTTTACTTCATAGACACATTTTCACAGCCACTGAATTTGTCTTTATATCTTTGCATGTATCTTTGATATGGAAAATACATCCCATTTGCTTTGGAGTACACATCTATATGTAATCGTATCTACTGCAGTGGTAAAATGAAAAAAAACCAAAAACAAACGAATAAACAACAAACAACCCAACCCTGGGTAAATTCACTTCTTTGTGGTTTACAAGATTTGATTAAACACTCAATCTTATGGATCCAAAAAAAGACTTTTCTACTTAAGCATGTCAGGGCAGTGGGTCAATCCAGACAAAAGTTAGACCCATGGATTTTACAGAGGACGTTTTTATAACATACTCATGTTCACCAATCTCATTCACAAATCTCTTAAGCTCTGTGAGAAAAAAAATACAGCTTTTGCTGTCCCAGATGCAAAAATTTTCAATTTTGTAGCAGACACACCTCATTTCAGAACACATTTTAGTGTACTTTATAATCTAAAAACTTATAGTTTCATAAAAAATTCTGTTATTTTTATCACTGCACTGTTTTGATTGAAGTACCACAAAGCAGTGAATTAATCCACACTTGAGTTTATCATCTCATCAAGGATGAAGTCCCATCCATGCTAATGTGCCCTTATTCATCTGAAAACTCTTGTCTTAGGAAAAAAACAGCCATATTGGATGGATTC